CAATAATATACTTTGGGATGTAAAATAACCTTAATGTCAGGAAAAAGTTTTAATGAGATTCTCAGAATAGTTCTCATATTTGTGCATGTTATAATTTAAATAATATGTTATGGAATGAATATATATAATTAATATATAATATGTACATTTATTTACGCAATTGTTATTAAAATATTTAATATTTATAATATTGTTATATTATAAAATGGATAAACAAGTATTGTGTAGTGCAGCACAGCTGGAACGTGATATTGACCAATCAGCATCCAGAACCACAATTTGTTATATGCAGTTCCGAGATACTTTGCTGTGCACCATAAGTCTGTTTCACCAGGACTGAATCTCTCAGAATGCAATGTAACAGCAAGTTTGAGCATAACATATGGCTCAAAGATGACAACCCCATTATTCTTCAAGCACACATTTGCTTCTGACTAACCTTATGCAACAAATTGAGGAATGCAATTTGACCATCAGAATCTCTAAAACCGAAGGCGTCTTTCATTTTATCCTGCAGTAAGGCGCTCAGATGACACTTCTTCAGCCTGCTCCTCGCTGACAGTATTTTGTACTCAAGTATAGAGATGTCATTCTTCAGATTTTGCACCACTACTTTGATTCCCCTTGTTCCTCACTGTAGCTAAAAATGTATCAAACAGAGCACAGGCTTTTTGTTTACTAGTGACGTTTGCTAAGTCAGATATCAGTAATACTCGTACAGTAGAATTAACTTTGGTGTATAACTTGTCCCATACTCACTTAAACAATACCTTAAATTTGATCGGGTCCTGTGAACAGCCACCTAGCAACCGCATAGCAACATACTAACAACCACTCAGAACACTTTAGCGACTGCATAACAATGCAAAGACAACACTCCAGTGTTGTGGCTGTTTTATACACACTCCTCTTTCTCGTCCTTCTCTTACCAGCTTCTTCTATCCCGAAACCAGAGAAAGACAAACAAATTTGACTGGCACTCTGTAATCACAGGGAAGCCCACGCACACAACAGTGATCTACTAGTAAACGCCACATTCATCTGTGTTTCATTAGTGTTTGAGAGAAGACACACTGTTGTGTCTGTGTTCAGCCCCATCCGGCCTGAATGAGTGAGAAATGACAGCCTCAGCATAGCTTCAGCTTTAAAACAGGCTGATGACTTTTTTTTTTTTATGTATTATTATAATTTTATTCATTTATTGAATGAAAGCTCATCCTAAAACTGGCAGATAAAAAATATTTAATAATAAGGATCATTATTAATATTTAAGAACCAATAATATTGATGATAATTGATGATAACTGAGCAAATCAGCATATTAGAATGATTTCTGATCATGTGACACCGGACACTGGAGTAATGATGCTAAAGATTCAGCTTTGCATCACAGGAATACATTTTATTTAAAAATATATTAAAATAAAAAACTGTTACTTTAAATTGTAATAATATGTCACATTTGTGTCGATCTTACAGTATATATATATATATTCATATATTCACAATACCAAATTACCGAATATATCAGCAGAGATGAGTTCAACTACAAAGTCAGACTTGGAAAGGTTTCATTTGACATTTTGACAGTTAAGACCTTAAAATGTAGGCTATTTCTGTTACAAAGGTGGTTGTGTGGGGTTGCACGAATTTTGGACCTTAAAAAATGGGTCACAGGGCAAAAATGTATTCTGCTTTGTTCTATAAGAAAGTGTGTCTTATGTGACCCTCTGTACCTCATTTTTTGGAACAGTCACTCTCAGAGAGACCATTATCGGGTACAAGTTAGACTTCTTTTTAAAATATCTCTAATTTAGCTGAGTAACACAGAGGAGTGTAATGTTAAATATAATGTTAAAGTACAGGAAGCAGCAGTAGGATAAGAGAAATTGAAGCACAAGATGTTCACTTATTAGGATCAGAGCTTCAGAACTTCTTGTGATGCCATATAAAGAGCTTATAAAAAAGAACTTATAAAAGCTTCTGTATGTGGTTGTTTAAAATGTAATATTTCTTGTTTAAATATAAATGTGTGTGTGTGTGTGTGTGTGTGTGTATTTATCCATTTAAGACTTGAGAGACTTAAATCAGTGTCATGTCTGGTTCATTTATGGAATCATTAAGAAAAAATAGGAATGGGAAATGTCTCATATTTCCCGTCCCTACAGCTACATATCGATTTATTCAGATGTCAGAAATGATCAATGGAATTTGATTTGATTTCACTAATATTTGAATGTGTTTGTTTGATTTGGCAGGACGAAGCAGTAAGTTACGAGAGCTCAGATGACGTGAATACAGATTCCATTTAGAGGTTTGGTCTGCTCAAATGATGCACACTGTAACAGCCAGCCAGTACTGAACACAGGGATGTGTGCGGAGAGATAGAGGGATGGAGGGATGCATGGGAAAGATGAAAGCACCGTGAGCAGTGTGGTTCTGGGCAGGTTGAGAGCGTGCTGCTGGGAGATCGGCCTCTATCCCTCTGCCTCTCACTATTTCACAGTCTACAGATCCCTCACCAGACTGTGAAACTCTCCTCACAGGACTGGATGGAAGAGATCTGTCACCAGGCACAGACTTAAACCGCATCAAACAGCAGCACTCAGGAGATGGCCAGTCAGTTGAGTGAGTGAGACACACTCTCCAACACTTCAAACACACATACTTACTATAGAGTGAGAGAGAGGGAGGAGGGAACTGACTGTTTATATTTATAGAAAAAAAATAATTATTAACTTGTAAGACTAGTTTAAGCAGGCTACTGTATGTAACCGGCCACTGGTTACATAAAGACACATGTTACACACATCTTCCGTCCAACAACCATGAGCCGCCAATGTGAGGATCTGACATGCTTCTGAGCTTAGATGGCAGACTTTGAGCATTTTACTGCACAGAAATATGTTTGTGTTAGCTGTGATGATAGACTACTCCAGTTTACAGCATGTGAGAGCGAGCGACTGAGCGAGTAAGTGAGGAAATGTTACAGCATTCATGATAGATTTTGTTTTCCCAGAGGCGTCTGCTGTGAAACTGGGAAAGGAAACCAAGTGACAAGATTAGAGCCCAACAAAAACCCCCTTCATGTGGAATAAATCTACACGTCAGCATGAGTTTGGCGATTCAGAAAAAAAGATACTTTCTGTAGTAAATCTGTGCCGTAGCCTTCAGAGACGTGAGCTCTGCTTCACAAACACACACACAGATCACAACTACTGGACCCGGTCTTTATTCATATACATCTGAAGAAATATGATATCCATAAGTGAGCAAACTTTACTTTCAGAGAGAATCAGCTTTTTTAAAGGAGTTTCCATTGTTAATCTGTTGAAGTCTTCTCATCAGCAACCCTCTTTTGGCAACTCCTTGTAGTGGACATCAATTCGTCAACTTTTTTTTTTCCCATTGGTGCACTTATGATATGTAAATCATTGCACTGATTTGAGTTTATAGACTTTGTTTTTTGCAGTCATGGATTTTGGAGTTATCACCTCTCTGAAAACCTAATGAGAACATGCTGATATTCTCAGCATGAGATAAAAAGAAATGTAAAAAGATGTATTATTAAAAATCTTATATTAATATAAAGGCATATTATTCATACATTTTTCACACATTATATTTTACTTATATTGTAGTATATATAGATTAAAAATAATTCAAACATTTTTCATTTTATTTTAAAATGTTTAAATAATAATATTTATCATATTTATTTACCATTGGCTGGTAAGAATATTTCAATATTTTTTATTTAGTTTCAGTATTTTTGAAAGAAGTCTCTTAAAGGTCCCATATTGTCAAAACTGAAATTTCCTGGCTTTTTTCACGATAACTGAGGTCTAGGGGCTATTTAACTACCATATAAGTCAATCCACAGTAAAATGCACACAGCCTGCATAAAGTAGCTGTGATTAAATTTCAGCAGGAAACTATTTTTACAGCTACATTATTGTTCCAGCCACAATTAATCACAACAATGTATATACAGTACATTTACAAATGATTATATATAAATCGTCAGTTTGTTGTTTTACACACATGCACATTATTAGACATTATTTCACACACGACATAGTCGTGAGATGCAAGAAACATAGACATATGGCAAGAAATCTGTAGATGCGCCCATAACAACAAAAGACGATACTTTAGTTAACCTTTTCTGATAAGAAGTGTGTGCTGCAAACGCGAGCATTTTTGACGATCGTTTCTGTCCAGTCTGCTCATT